ATATTGACATTGCTTTTAACGAATTATTATCAAGACGAACATACACAGTTTTATTGTTTTATATCACGCGATTACCAACTGCAAGGACTTAAAGTATACTTGGCGATTTCTCAACAACATACTTACTTTTGTTCAGAGATTGTTTAGGCCCAACTGGGAGACCCCGTTTATTTCCCCGTAATACGTATGAGAGAGTCGGTGTCATCATAATCATACCTTACATAATTTGCATGTAAATGTTAAAAGAAAATAAAATATAACATGTAACTTATTAAAAGAATCATGTCAGAAAATATTGTTTAACGAATTAAAACATTTTGATTTTTTGCCAGCTGTTGGGAATATGTTTTTGAAAATGGGGAAAAGAGTATATTTTGGATTTAAAATGACTTCTCATTCAAAACCTCTGTCCACTGAAGTATAATAACTTGAGAGCTACTATGCTTATAATATGTATCCAGGCTTGTAAATGACCCCTTTTGATTGTGAGCTTAGAAGGTTTAATGTCAAGCTCAAGATGACCTTCAATTCAAACTTTAGGTAGTCAATTACCGCTATCTATTCTTAAATAACTTATATGTTGTAAAGGAGTCTCGGCAATGCACCCTTTTGTGCAGAGCTTGCCTCATTTAAACGGTTAAATTCTGTTATTTCTTGAATGCTCAGTTTACAATTATAATTAACTATAAACTAAAATAATGTTATTATAGAAGAAATATGTATTAGAACAACAAATGTCCAGATGGTAGAATACATTAAATGCCCTTTGATTTAGCATTTGAAGTTGTTTCGTTTTAGTGCCTTCGACAATTTAATCTACTAACCAATAATGTGTTTTTCCTTTCATGTGGCGTTTATTTGTTTCTCTTGAATAGATAGGTAGGGTTTAGAAAACGATATTGACGGTTAAGGAAATACAAAACTAAGTTGCGTAATAACAGATTTTAAACGGATTTTTAAACATGCTTAAAGATTCATACGATTTCTTTCAAGATCTTGTTTCCTTTGATCTGTAAAGATAAAATGTAGCCGTAGCTTAATTTACAAACCATGAGTAGCATGGAATGCAATCAAAAGAGAAACATTAATCATTTGTGACATATATACGTGTCTATCCAATGTCATTATCATGCAAAAAGTGTAAATGCTGAAGTGTTCAATGTATAGACGGTAATAGTAAAAACTTATCTGGTAAAGCACATAAATTTGTTTATAACATTCGAAAACTTTATTATATTATCTAGAATGTGAATTATTCGTTTTAGTAATCAGAAGAGATCAATTAAGGTATATATTATCTAGAAGTTGAAGTTCAATTTTATTATACTGCCACTGGACCACGGGGTTTAATGAGGTGAACATATAATCTTATCAAATGACGCGCGTACACGAAAATGCTTTTATACTAGCTCCCTAATGGCAGCTTTGAGTATGTCATATAATTGTTTTTCATTCACACTTCTCTCTTCATGCACTTCTGTATTTTTACATCAAAAGTCATTTATACAGCCTCAGACATAAACTATAATTTTCCACTTTTGAAATTGTGACAATAGACCCTGTAGTTTTGTCGACAAATTCGTAAAATGCGGCGAAAGTTAAGTAACAAGCGTAAGCATGTAAATTAATGTCAATGAATACTAAGATATTTCTACTGTGTTACACTGTTGTAAGCAATTGTCGGCCCTACTGGAACCGTGGAACGTACCACTTAACCCGTCCTTGTAGCACTCACTGTTGAAAATATGGATGAATAATCAAAGCAAAAAAACAGAAGTCAAAAGTGAAATCCAGCATTTTGGCACCTAAAAAAATATGATATACCAAGCCAGGTATTAAATCCATTCAACGTAAATAATCATAGCATCACAACATGAATATGATAACATATACATTACGAGATAATACTTGCGGTCATAGGATAGGATACTTTTGGAGTTCAGTTTGTTCATCCGATAAATTCATATGTTACCTCATAAGTTGGTCCAGTGTAGAAGAATTGTTTTGTCTGGTATTTTGGTAGCTATATTGCTTTTAGTTCACAATATAACGTACATTAAAAAATGAGATAGAATTTGCTTATAAGTTTATTACATATTCATTTTATCTTATTTGGAGACTATATTTTTACTTCAGTGATCCTGTATGTTTTGTAATTGAGATTGTATAGTAAGTGTGTATTTGAGTTTATTTATAAACGCCACCGGTTACCCATATGGGCGAGTCCTCCAGAAGAGTATTAGTCATTTTATATTTTGAAGGATAGTGCAAGATACAGATACAGAAAGATGCCCCAATTCCAGAAGCTTCCTCTGGTTCTTTAAAGTGCCAAGTGTTTAAGCACTCACACGGGACTTCATTTAAAGTCTCATCCGAAAGACTGATTTGTAATTTTAGTTGGCCAACCTCGAACCCACAATGTCGAGATTACATGTCTCGCGCTCTAACCGATTTAGCTATGCGGACTGGCAAGAGATTGTATACCACTCTTACGTGAAATTATATATGTATATAATTATGCTAATACAACAATTTTCAAACTTCGAAAAATATTTTAAATATGTACTGCAAATATTTGTACATATTAAATGAAATCATTCAATTATATGCATTCATTTCTTAGAATTTATAAAAAAAACAAATTTCTAATTACCTCCCTTTATTTACATGAAACATTAAATTCGGTAATATCTTTATAAATATTTTTGGAACTTACAATATTGATACATCTTGATTTGAGCATCACATTTTTTTATATAAAACCATAAAAAATGTCTTTCATGATCTTTAAATATACTGTTAACATTATAAATACTATTCTACGTTTTATAATGTTATCTATGTGAAATACAAATATGAATGAATTTTAGACATAAATGTGATAAACACTGTTTAACACAGATCTGTATCATTCGTTTCAATATTCCAGATAAAACGAGGAAAATCATTTACTCTCCTAACCTTTTTATATGGCCGAAAGAATTTCGGACATATTGTTTTATACCCCCTGGCGTCCGTCCGTCCGTCTGTCCGCACTCACAGGAGAGTAATTATGTGGCTAGAGGGACAATAGGTAACTGTTCTTTCTCTTTGATGCCATTCATTCCGTAATGCTTTTATGTGGCTATTTTCTTTTATGTGGCTAAAAAGAACAATAGAGAGAACAATAGAGTAGCCACATAATTACTGTCCTGTGAGAACTTCCGTCCGTCTGTCCGTCCGTCTGTCCGTTAGCAATTTGGTTTCCGGAGCATAACTTAAGTTCCATTTGGCCCACAATATTCAAACTTCATAGAATGATTGTCCATATTGGGTAGAAGACCCTTATTGATTTTGGGGTCATAAGGTCAAAGGTCAAGGTCACCATGACCTTAAAACTGAAAACAGTTTCCGGAGCATAACTTAAGTTTCATTTGGCCCACAGTGTTCAAACTTCATAGGATGATTGTCCATATTGGGTAGAAGACCCCCATTGATTTTGAGGTCATAAGGTCAAAGTCACTATGACCTTAAAACTGAAAACAGTTTTCGGAACATAACTTAAGTTTCATTTGGCCCACAGTGTTCAAACTTCATAGGATGATTGTCCATATTGGGTAGAAGACCCCTATTGATTTTGGGGTCACAAGGTCAAAGGTCAAGGTCACTATTTCCTTAGAACTGAAAACAGTTTCCGGAGCATAACTTCAGTTCCATTTGGCCCACAGTGTTCAAACTTCATAGGATGATTGTTCATATTGGGTAGAAGACCCCTATTGATTTTGGGGTCACAAGGTCAAAGGTCAAGGCCACTGTTTACTTAAACTAAAACAGTTTCCGGAACATGACTTAAGTTCTATTTGGCCCAAAGTGTTCAAACTTCATAGGATGATTGTCCATATTGGGTAGAAGACCCCTATTGATTTTTGGGTCACAAGGTCAAGGTCACTATGACCTTAAAACTGAAAACAGTTTTCGGAACATAACTTGTGTATCTTTTGGCCTACTGTGTTTAAACTTCATAGTATGATTGTCCATATTGGGGAGAAGACCCCTAATGATTTTGGGGTCACAAGGTCAAAGGTCAAGGTCACTATTACCTTAGAATTGAAAACAGATTCTTGGGCATAACTTAAGTTCCATTTGGACCACAATATTGACACTTCAAAGGAGGATTGTTATTTGAAGGAGGTAATACTTTATTTAATTTCCATGTCTTACAAATGCTTCATCTTTACTAAAGAAAAAAAATCACTTTCGGGCATATAATGCTCCGCCTAGCGGTGCTCTTGTTATATCTTAAAGTGGCATTATGCAAATATTTTCATAGTCAAGTTGAGCTGAATTGACTTTATATTTCAAAAGATTGACTGTCAAAATGGTGTTTGACCAACAGTTGATATCGGATAGTGTTTAGGATAAAATTATAAATCTGCCTAAAATATAAAAAGACTGCCCGACTCTTTTTATAAAGTAAGCGTTATAGGTAAATTCTAATGAATATTTACAGAAATTTCGTTTGGATCTGTACGTTATTTATTGTTTAGTTGAACTTAATTATTAAATTAAAATGAATTATGGCAAAATGAAAACTTATTTTGATCTTCACCTGTTCACTTGGATGGGCATAATGTCACTTTAAGGTATACTTTTGTACATATATTTGGTTCTCTATAATTAGATTATTTTCAATGGATAGCAGGCTGAATGTGCCTAGCATTATTAGACATTAGTGTTTTAAGACAGATACGGTCACGGAAATCGGACTTCCGTCGTTTCACAATAGCAACGAAAATGGACTACAGTGGCGTACATATCGTTTTATTTTATTATCAGTCAACATTCATAATATCAATCAGATTTTGTTTTTGACAGACAATACCCTTGTATATCGTTACAACACATGGTAAAACTTTCCGACAATGTCTCCATATTGTTTCGACTGACTTGTAACTCTTTATTTCATCAATGACATGCTCATACACGATACTGTCTAATAGTCATGTTTTTTATTCTTCTAGTGTCTAGTGTCTCGCCTTCTGAACTTTCATATATGGAGTTACAATCGGGTGTCCATTTGAATAAATTTTATCGCCGAGAAGAACACATACGTCCAGCTCAAAAGTGGCGCAACAATCCTAAATACTGTGCAGCATTATTGAGATGGTCAGAATTATTATGCCTGCATAGTCAACTATTACTTGGAAATGAAATGTATGAATGCTTATGTGCGCAGAATAATATTGATGTTGTTGTGCCTAATTAGGTCTGTAGATTTCATGTGAAGCTCCTTCTATAGCTCCTACGGCGGCAGAAAATTTACCCCAGGTACATTTCATACATCTCCATTGGTCCACAGACGGCCATAGATGAACTATTTAAGTTTAAAATAAAATACTGGAATCTTCTGTTACTGTTGTCACACTTATATTAAACAAAAATCCAAAATTGTTTCTGGTGTTTAGTCTGTCACCTCATAAATTTGAAAGCGATGCTGAGCAGTGGAACGAAAAAGCTTTCAGCCACCATATACATGTATATATTGATCTGATCCAACCAAGCGATACCTTATGTCTAAAAGAGAGTCAGGTGGCGAACGTAAGAGAATGAAAATATCCCGTTATAAGGCAACGTATTTACTTGTATCCGGGGATAAGCGGACCAATGCCGATTAAAGGACAGAATGCTCCTTACTTGACGATTCATAATAACTGCAAATCGTAAAATCAATGAAATTCATCTTGATTTAAACATCTTTTATTGAGAATATTTGTACATGTGTAAATAACAACATAACACTTATATCAATAATAAATTCATCTTGATGAACAAAAGAAGACGAAACAGAACGCCGCAAGCGAACACATATTTGACGTACAGACATATTGTAGTGGTTTATGTGCCACAAAAGACACCAACTATGAAATAAATGAGTTTCATGAAATAAATGTTTGAAATAAAATTTGAAAGCTACCTAAGCAAAGCAATTACCAAAACTAGATCCGGCCCCTACAATAGCAATGTCGTTGTAAAACAAACATTGAACACGAGTTTAATGTGCAATGTTCTTGTATAACACAAATTTGTACACTACGTGTTTAAAGAATTATGTATTTTTGGAAATAAAATAACGGATAACAACAAATAATGTAAGTAGAATTAATTAAATACCACTTGATGTTCAAACTGCTTACCTTTATTTTTTTTTCAAACTTTTTGACATTCTATCAATAAATTAAAAACAAAATATAAGCAAATAATTAAGAGATAACGGAAAACCGAAAGCCTTTTGAAAAACCGATACACATTTCCACGAAATTCACAATCGAAAAAGTCAATAGCAACAAATAACAGAGCCACTTAAATAGAAAAAATGCAATTTATACAACTGCTTATATTTTACATCAGCTCAATTCATATTTATAAATTGTGATTTTTGCTTTTATGTCAACAAAATGACTTGGACTCCATGAGCTGACGTCACTCTCTATACTGATCTGGGCTGAAGATAACAAGAGCTGTCGGAGGACAGCGACGCTCGACTATTCGAAAGTGTTGTCACAAGGATGTTTCATTAAGTTTAATAATGCTGGCCTACATTAATGCTAAACTTGACCCAAAAATCTACAAAGGCTTGTTATCAAGATGTTTTATCGAGTAAATTATGATTCATAAAATTGTCACACAAAAGGCACAAACCCTTCAGTAGTTATAGATATACCAGCTTACTCTCAAAAACTTTACCAAGCATTTCTAAGTTGAAAAAAAGAGGCTTAACCTTTTTGAACTTTGGTGGTTCCAGTATTCCTACTTGAATACTATATAATCACCCTCAGAATATGTTGCCTGCTTTTTAAATTTGTCTTTTGACGTCTTGTCTATAATATGCAGTCTTCATAACCTCAGATCCCCTTTCTAAATTCCATTTTATTTAGTTCCACCCATTGTTATCTCGTTTAGGGCACACGCATTCTTTTACTTGGGGACCATACGCCGCTGTTCGTGGAATGACACTGCTGTGTCACATTGAAAGTGCCACGATAACCGCCGTATGAACACATCTGCGGATGTTTCTAAATTCAAAATTTCACCAGTTATGTGTTTAATAAATGTTGAATTCTACTTAAGCCGGTGCTATGGGGCGTAGACGGTAACTTGCACTTTCAAGTACCGTCCATGAACAGGCTCAATCAAACCGAGCCTGTAACATTTTACAATTTTGCCGTGTTTGGCTTTCTTTAGGGATTCTGTTTTTATCTATTTGATTATGCAATAGTCAAATCAGAGTTTTGGTACGCGTACCAATTATGTTAGATAATAACAGAGAATAAGCATGTGAAGTTTCAATCAAATCCCTTCAGTGAGTTATGGTGATACAAGCTTACACACGAAAACGTAACCAAGAATTTCCTAGTCGAAAAAGAGGCATACATATGCACAAAAGCAAATCAGAGTTTTGTGACGCGTGCCAATCATGTTGGATAATCACAAAGAACAAGTGTGTGGAGTTTCAATCCATTCGCTTCAGTAGTTATTGAGATAACAGCTTACAAACAAACACTTGAACAAGAATTTCTCAGTCGAAAAGGCAAATCAGAGTTATGGGACTTGTGTCAATTATGTTAGATCCTCACAGAAAACAAGTGTGTAAAGTAAGTTTCAATCCATTCCCTTCAGTAGTTATGGATGTACCAGCTTACACGCAAAAATACCAAGCATTTCTTAGTCGTAAAAGGGTCATAAATGTGCGAATCCTGTTAGATAATTACAGAGAACAAGTGTGTGAAGTTTCAATCCATTCCCTTCAGTGAGTTATGATGATACAAGCTTACACGCAAAAACTTAACAAAGAATTTCTAAGTCGTAAAAGGAGCATAAATATGCAAAATGCAAATCAGAGTTATGATACTTGTGCCAATTATGTTGGATAATCACAGAGAACAAGTGTGTGAAGTTCCAATCCATTCCCTTCTTATTCAAATTTACAAGTCATATACATTCAGCTCTCTCAGGCTAGAAATGTGCAAATCTGCTTATGTATTATATGGAATGAAAGAAACAAACATGTAAATTTGTTGCTTTTTCATGTAAGGTCAATTGTAAACTTTTTATTTAAAAGCGGGAACATTCGATTAAAATTTTGGATTTAGAGGTTTATGATATGCAGTACACGGATACAGTCAAACTTGCTAGGCATACACGCTCGTTAGTTTTCAAGAGTAGTTTTCAAAAGGAATCCTTTACATGTCTGGAATTTTGACAACGAACGCCCTCCATATGAATAAGAGAAGTTATTATAAGAACAGTATTTCAATTTTGAACTTGCTTTTGAGGCATTATTAGTATGAGTTTATTTCTAAATCATTTTAAATATTCAATTCCTTTTTCCAAACAATATTGATTCATGTATAATTAACAGTTTCATAAATGTTTATTCTTTGCTTATTTGAAGTCACAAAACTTCAAACTCACTAGATTTGAACATTTGTAGTTGGTTTGTATCTACACATAATGTATTTCTTTCATAGCTAATTATCATTCATCACCTCAAGCTAACTTAAATCATGCCGAATATAAATCAGTGTAAAACTTTAAATTCTCAAGTAGCACTGTGTTCATAAAATAAATCATTCATTTAATTGAAAAGTAACTACTAGTAAAAACAATAACTAAATATTTGATCAAATGACTTTTCCGGAATCCGAACATTTACGAAACGAATGCACTTAGCAAATAATTGAGTAAGGGTGAAGCCCGTAGTAAAATTCTGGTGTAATATATGTTTTATATGCACGGAATCTTTAAGTGATATAAAACTGAATATTAATTATCTATAAAAATGATGGTCAGCAGAATTGCCTAAATGAAGGCAAAATAATTAAGAAGAAAAAATAGTTTTAAAAAATGCCTCCTCTAGGCTTTGAATTTACACCATACCAGGAAAATTTGCATTAAGCATCTAATACTTTAAATTTCATTTTACAAGATGTATTGGTACGCGTTTAACTTTTGAGGCATGGAGGAGCACGTGACCTGTTTCGGTACATGGAGGATCATGTGATCTGTAAACCGTACATGATTGGTTAAATGACCTTTTCGAAAACCTAGCTAAATACCGTTTGCCGGTACTTTACGGATTTACCGGTAGGGAATTAGTCCGAACTACCTAATTAAGAACAAAAAAAACTATTACGTGATATTTTTAATTTTCTATAATTATTTTACCGTTTAAGGTGGAAAAACTTGAATGATGTGTTTGAAAATTATCATTGTTTCTTTAATATCTATCTCAAATTTTACAAACAATAAATTGTTTATACTGACAATCTACAAAATTACAATATACGTAGTGGCATCTGCCATAATAAATGATATTTTCTGCGTAAACTTGTGTGTTTACTTTATTTATTTTTTTGCTCGGAATTATTCATAAAATGGTAGGCCTATTTAATAATTTTCTTAAAAAGAAATAATTGTTTTATGTTCAACTTTCTCCGTCTTCAACTGTCACCAGTTTCCAAAGACCTTCTTCTATATTGATCGTTTATTCAATTGTCAACTATATTCCTGATACAAACGTTTATTTACCCCCCATCCCCAAATAATAATGATTTATCTTTACATCATTAAAATATTCACCGCAGGAAACCACTTCACTTGTTCTTAATGGCAAGTTTTCCCGTTGTTTTGTCAGCTGTTGTCGCGGAAGTAGCAGCAGCAGTACCAAAAGCTGGTAATAACGTTTTGTTCTCTCTCATGTGCATGATGAAATCTTTTTCGGTTTTCCATAATTCTCGCCAATAATGTATTATTCCAAATGTATTAGATGGAACGTATAGTATGTATTATGAAGCATTTAACTTCACATCTGTGTTTTCTGTTTTGTAATATAAACTCACTTATTTTTGTTTTGTTATCGATTCTTCTCAGATTATTCAATATGTTATGACTTAAGCGCCTATTATATGTGAACTACTAAATAAGGAGAAGAATTTCATAAGACACTTTAGCTACTTTGTAGTTTATTCTGATCCTTTCTTGTAAGAATATTTTAAAATGCTTTATTTATATTATACATTCAAACTTGTATGAATAATATTGGAAAAAATATGTTTTATTTAAACATTTGCCACAACTGATGAGACATAGTGCAATGCATAAATAGTGTATATGAAGCTAGATGTTCAAGGTTCCCACTTAGAAATTAAATATTGGTTTACAAACGAATGTCTTAAATGCACTATTGCATTTTAAGGGGAATTTGACAGTCGATTTGACTACAATGGGTACATTTTCAATAAATATTTCAAAATATTGATAAAAATAATAGAAATGTATTCAGATATTCAAATAAAATATTGCTTGAAAACAAATGTTGTTCAAGTTCTAAATGGTTTAGTATGACACATTTATATAATGATTAAATGATATTTTGTTATGGAACAATTAATTACTTATTTTATTACAGAAAATACATTATAGACCAACTCACTTTAACATGTTTTGTTGATTATCACAATTGTTTGCATATGTAGGAAACTTTGTGTACATTAAGAAAACCATACGCTATTGCATCTTTATATTTGTATGTTTGTATTAACATCATAGAATAAACAAGATAAACTCTCAGTCTTTGTTGTCATCACATTACACCAATAACTACAAATATACGATAAAAAAGACATGCTATTGTAAACATTAAATCAATTCACACCGACACTTTTCAGGTAATAATTTATAGCGACGTTCCATCTTTTCTGGTGATGTAAGACCTGCACCCCGTGCATTGTTTAAGGAACATGCGAATAACATAGAATAATCACCGGTCTTTCGTAAGCTAGCTTGACATAACAAGTAAGTCGTGGCGTTACATACACAAAATAAAATTCAAAATAACGAGCAAAATTAATGTGCCTGTCTGCTTACGTCTGTCTCCGATAAATATTACGAGTTAAGTGTACTGAAAAAATATATTTTTTAATCTAACCAGAGCATAAACTGCACAATTCATGCAAATAACATTTTATAAGAGGAATGTTCGGATGTCAACACATTTAGAACTTGAACCCAATACTTTTTTTTTACTGCAAACATGAGAAAACAAATCAATGGTGCATAATAAAACTCTTGTAGTTACGTATCACCAGTAACAACGATAACAATAAGCTAAAAATAGATCGCCGCTTTGGTTATAAAAGTAAAAAAGAAGGCCAACTAGAACGAAATCCCAGCTAAGCATTGTAAATTTTAATGACTATTTAGATAGTGAATCGTAAAGAAATATAAAAAAATAAATCCAATTCAAATTGGAACGTACGTTATAAATCAAATTGGACTTTTATTCGAGATGTTATAAACTAAAATGAAGGGAAATGATCGCTCATTTTATAACTTGTTTTTATAAGTGGTTGCTGGCATGTATCCGACAAATGC